TTCTTCCGGTGTTCTCCCCCAACATGGGATACCCGCCACTTCCGGTGCCCACCACCAACCTGCTGACCCCTTCCTATGCCCATTCCTCCTCACCCCCAACTACCACTACTGTTCTCATAACCTGCCATACTTCCAGCACCCTCCCCCCCACTACTCTCCACCCCTTTCCCTCCCCCATGGAGCCCTCATATCCCCTACCCCCAGAACCCCCTAGACCTGCATCCCCCCCCCCCCACAGATAGGGTGGCCACCTCATCCCTTTATACCCAAACACACATTAATTACACGGGTTGTGCTCCATGGCTGATGAAGGTGGTAATTAATTCACTTAGTGCCTTACTCTTACCTCCCAACATTTGAACGTCAAAGTGAGGGACACCTGAGTGGAGGAGTGACCAGCGGCGTGGCAAAATGTGGGTGTGGCCAAAGTTTTACCAGTGGGAGGGATTTAAGGAGAGTGATCCCATCCTCCACCTAATCCTCCCATCCACCTACCTGCATTGTCAGTCCTCCCAACCCCCACCAGTACCCTACATCTCCCCCCCCCTTCCCGATCCTCCCAACCCCCACCAGTACCCTCCACCCCCCTTCCCGATCCTCCCAACCCCCACCAGTACCCTCCACCCCCCTCCCCGTTCCTCCCAACCCCCACCAGTACCCCCACCCCCCCCCTCCCCGTTCCTCCCAACCCCCACCAGTACCCTCCACCCCCCTCCCCGTTCCAACCCCCACCAGTACCCTCCACCCCCCTCCTCGATCCTCCCAACCCCCACCAGTACACTCCACCCCCCTTCCTGATCCTCCCAACCCCCACCAGTACACTCCACCCCCTCCCTGATCCTCCCAACCCCCGCCAGTACCCTCCACCCCCCCCCCCGATCCTCCCAACCCCTACCAGTACCCTCCACCCCCCTCCCCGATCCTCCCAACCCCCACCAGTACCCTCCACCCCCCTCCCCCCTCCTCCCAACCCCCACCAGTACCCTCCACCCCCCCTCCCTGATCCTCCCAACCCCTACCAGTACCCTCCACCCCCTCCCCGATCCTCCCAACCCCCACCAGTACCCTCCACCCCCCTCCCCGATCCTCCCAACCCCCGCCAGTACCCTCCACCCCCCTTCCTGATCCTCCCAACCCCCACCAGTACACTCCACCCTCTCCCTGATCCTCCCAACCCCCGCCAGTACAAACTCCACCCCCCCTTCCTGTTCCTCCCAACCCCCACCAGTACCCTCCACCCCCCTCCCCGATCCTCCCAACCCCCGCCAGTACCCTCCACCCCCCCCGTCCCCCGATCCTCCCAACCCCCACCAGTACCCTCCACCACCCCCTCCCCGATCCTCCCAACCCCCACCAGTACCCTCCACCCCCCCCCGATACCCTCCCTGATCCTCCCAACCCCCACCAGTACACTCCACCCCCCTTCCTGATCCTCCCAACCCCCACCAGTGCACTCCACCCCCCTTCCCTCCCTATCCTCCCAACCTCCTCTACAACCCTCCACCCCCCCCTCCCAATCCTAACCAGCTCCCTCCACCCCCCTTCCCCGATCCTCCCAACCCCCTCCAGCAACCTTCACCTTCCTCTTCCCAATCCTTCCACACCCACAATACCCTTCACCCTCTATTCCCTCCAACCCTCCCCAGTATCCTCTGGGCCCTTCCAGGTTCTCTAATCCACATCAGTATCCTCCCCCTCTTCCCATTCCTCCCACCCCCACCATTATGCCAAGTACCCATGATGAGAAAATCGGATGAAAAATACCACTTCTACAGCCATCACCCAATAATCTGATCTTTCGTACTCGGCTTTCGAGAGGCGATCACGACAGTTCATGCGAAAATATCCTAAGGAACAAGCGCGACAATTTCTTTTGCAAGATAACTCGACAAACAATTTTCGTTTAATCAGAACGTTATTCATCCATAAAATATCGAGTGCCCAGGACTGCGCATGAAAAAATACATTACATCACATGATCGCGGGAAGTTGTATTCTGAGAATTTTTGTAACCTATTGGTGTTCCATGAGACTAGCGTGCAAAAACAATGGCCGATCATCTGTCCGATATTCTCATCGTGTGTACCAGGCTTTACCCTCACACTCCATCTTGTTTCCACACCCCATTCCAAGCTCCCTGTATATACTCACATATTGAAGCGGCCTCATTAAAATAGTTTTTTTTTCAGGTTCCTCCAGTGATGATGACTTCCAAACGGCGGTCGTCCAAATTGGGAGATCAAGAAGATCCAGCCGCCAGCTCCTCTAGTAAGTAGTAAATGCTTTGATTGAGGTTGTCGCAGCTTTTACACTCGCTCTATGCAGTACAGATTTTAGACCATGGAAAAAAGATCAAAAGTCTGTGTGGCAGCGGCTACGTCTTCCACGCTTCTGGTCTCAACACCCCCCCATACCTTGGGTCTCCATGTCTCCCAGATCCCCAAGTCTCAGCGTCCCTCAAACCTTGACTCCCCATGCTCGCATCTCTTGTACCTTGCAGCCTCCACTCCTGGAATCCCCACATCTTGAGGCTCTGTGTCCCCCGCATCTTATGTTTCTCACAGTCTCCACTGCTCAAGTCCCTACTTTGAGTCCCGTACATGCCCAGGTCCCCACATGTCCCACACCTCAAGTCCCCACTTACTCTGCATCATGGGTCCCCGAGTCTTCTTGCATCTTGGGTCCCCGAGTCATCTTGCACCTCGGGTCCCCAAGCCTCTCTGCATGTCGGGCCCCCCAGGCCTCCCCGCTCCTCAGGCCCCCCAAGTCTCACTTCACCTCAGGTCCCCAAGTCTTTCTGCATCTTGGGGCCCCCAGGCCTCCCCGCACCTCGGGTCCCCAGGCCTCCCCGCACCTCGGGTCCCCAGGCCTCCCCGCACCTCGGGTCCCCCTCCCCGCAGGGCCCCCAGGCCCCCCTGCACCTTTGGTCCCCAAGCCTCTCTGCATGTCAGGCCCCCCAAGTCTCACTTCACCTCAGGTCCCCAAGTCTTTCTGCATCTTGGGGCCCCCCAGGCCTCCCCGCACCTCGGGTCCCCAAGCCTCTCTGCATGTCGGGCCCCCCAGGCCTCCCCGCTCCTCAGGCCCCCCAAGTCTCACTTCACCTCAGGTCCCCAAGTCTTTCTGCATCTTGGGGGGCCCCCAGGCCTCCCCGCACCTCGGGTCCCCAGGCCTCCCCGGGTCCCCCTCCCGGGGTCCCCAGGCCTTCCCGCACCTCGGGTCCCCCAGCCCTCCCGCTCTTCGGGCCCCCCCCAGGCCTCCCCGCTCCTCGTGCCCCCCAGGCCTCCCCTCTTCTCAGGTCCCCCCCCCCCGGCCTCCCCGCTCCTCGGGTCCCCCCGGCCTCCCCCCGGGCTCCTCGGGTCCCCCGGGCCTCCCCGCTCCTCGGGTCCCCCGGGCCTCCCGCTCTTCGGGTCCCCCGGGCCTCCCCGCTCTTCGGGTCCCCCGGCCTCCCCGCACCTCCCCCGCACTTCGGGTCTCCAAATAAACATTAGAAACTGCACTAGATGTTTAAGCGCCCACACATTTGTCATTTATAAACGTACGACGGTATAAAGTGTTTACACAAACCTATCCTGATCTGAGTACTAAGCTAGCCTTTTCCTGAACATTACACTAATCCTTGTAGAGTCCTGTGGGTGGAGAAGCCACACCCAGTGCACACAATTGTGGGTGGAGATGCTGTAGAGAATTAATGATCCATATGGTGGCAGGCAGAGAATGGAGCATTAGACATTGTGTCAGGACTCGGGTCTGAACCTGCGACCTCTGCTCTGTCTGGCGGTGTCTCTTCTTACTGAGCCACCTGGAATGCTGGACAATCCCTTAGTCTTGTACCTTGTGAACCTTGAACTCTTTGCTCCTCCCACTAACTTCCTATTTAACCTCTTGGCGCCGGCCGAATGCAAATGTGCGGCCTCCCAGCGTCTGATCCTAGACGCCGAGCGGCCGCACATTTGCGTTCTATTAAAAAAAACATATGTGCTGAAAGCGCACGCCCTGCGCACTCCCAGCACACATGTCCGGTACTCACGTAAAGGTCCAGATCTCCTCTTTCGATCGGAACCTTTCCTGATCATGTGACGGCGTGTCACTGTGGTCACATGACCCTAAACCCCGCCCTGCCTCCCGGCCTCTGAAACCCTTAAAGGGCCGGAAGCGCCGGCGCCAAGGGGTTAAGCCATGTCCGTACACTTCCTGTTTACAAGATTAGTGTGCTCTCTCCAGCAAATATCTCGTTCTTGTCACTCCTGCTGCCGTCTGTATCTTCACCACTACTCTGTACTGACCCTTGGCTAGTTCATCGGCTATGCTCATCTTGTCCTTTATCTGCTTCATCTGCTACCTGGCTCCTGCTTGCTCTCTCCTCTGCTGGGGCAATCTTGAGGGCCACGACCTGGCCTTTGCACGCAGCAAAACCCATCCCCACCATCAGGAGCTTTGGTGAAGACCGGCTGGTGCTTCGACCCTGCGCTTCGGGTGAGCCTGTCATCTTCTAGCGGATCCTTTTGTGTATTCATCCAGCTTACTATTCGTGAATCTCCCAACTGCTACAGTCACTGGCCTCCTATTCTGACTCCAGACAGTGACGGAATAATGGATTCAATGGGAAGTTCATGGGAGGAGCAAAGAGTTCAAGGTTCGCGAGAAACAAGGTACAAGGGAAGATTATCCGAGGGATTGTCCGAGAGCTGTTTAGCATCCCAGCTGGCTCAGCAAGAAAAGACATCACCAGACACAGCAGAGGTCGCAGGTTTGGACCCAGGTCCAGACACATTGTAGCCAGTCCTGGGTATCCTACAGTGTGTTCCTCCTACAGCCCATAAACAAGATGAGTCAGATTTGTTACCTTGACTCCTGTAGGTGGGCCTACCATAGATGTTATGAAAGCTGTTGTTCCTTCTACAGAAATCAAGAAACGCAGAGTGAGCAGTAAGAAGACGAAGGAGCAGGATGACGTGGTGGAGAATGACAGCGTGTTTGTACAAGTCCTGAAATCTGCCGGGATGACCCTGAAGTCCGGAGAGCAGCAGAATGAACTTGGTGAGATATAACCAACTTTTTGTCATTGCTTGTTCGAGTGGGCGTGGCTGAATCATTGCTGTAGCCAATCAATTAACTAGACTCTGGGGAGTTGCATTTTGTCAGAGCAGTAAAACTTCAGCCTGGTATCATCTTGCATTAATCCAGATTGGGAAAGCATTTTGGTGCTGGAAGGTGGGGCTCTCGGTATGCCCCTCCCACTTCTCTATTTTCTGTATTCCTAATACACATCACAGAAGGTTGTGCATAGTTTGCTTGTCAGCCAGCATTGCAGGTCCGTGCTCTCCTATTAACCACCTTACAACTGGCCATTGTATTTAAAGCGGAGTTCCACTCACCCTGTCAAAAAATAAAAGTCAGCAACCTGTAGCTGCTGACTTTTAAAAACAGCCACTTACCTGTCCCACGGTGTGTACCCTGCAGCCCGTTTCACCGCCGTCTTGTATTCCAGGAGGCCGGCATCTTCAGTGGGCACCCGGCTGTGATAGCCTGTGGCTTCACAGACGGGTACCTACTGCGCATGCGCAAGTAGCGCCGCGCTTCATGAATGGTCCTGTAGTCTTCTGGGACCTGTCACGTGTCCCAAAAGACTACAGGGAGGGAGGACACCTTCCGCTTCCAATCGCCTAGGCGATTGAACAGGAAGTGGGAGCGGGTACCTGTCAAATTCAGGTACCCGCTCCCCAAAGATGTCAATCCGTAGCCTCCTTAGCAGTCTGATTATGTCAGTATTTCTGTGTTCAAAGCGGTACATTTTTTTGCATGAAAATATGTATTTTTTTTATTGTAGGCTGTAATTCTTAGGAATAACTCACTGAAATCTGTCCAAACGAGTCTAGTAAACATCCCGGGGATGATAAAATTTGAAACAGGAAATTATAAATATATTTAATAAATAATCATAAAAAATAATAATAAATATAATTCAATAATATAATCAAACCAAAAACACTGAAATGTGAAATATAGCGCCAAGTTCGCGCATCGCTGAGCTCAGTCGCAGAATCGTTTTCAGTGTCTGATGAGGAATTTCCCCCACAAATCATTATCACTCAATTCTGCAAATGGTTCTGATTTAACTATCGCTGTTCTCTAGCCGGTCTAAAACCGCGTCTGACCTAAAGGGACGCTTTTTGGACGCCATGGACGTTTCTCAGTTTCCAGGCAGAAAGAACAGTAAAAATGTAGGCAGGGCGCCGGACAAAGCACTCGGGACAAAATGTATGTGAAATGGTTTGATACAGGAATGTTATACTATGTGATTTTAGTGTATTTAGTGAACGTCACTTTTTTCACATTTTTAAATTTCCCGCCAGTTCCGTCCCGACGTCGCAGGGAACGGAACCCAGAAGCTGGAGGAGATTGCTGGGGACACTGCAGGGGGGACATCGCGGGAGCGCAGGACAAGGTAAGTGAAGAAGAGATCCCAGAGCAACGCTGCAATGTATTCCCGAGTGTAGCTCGGGGTTACCGCTTGTGCTGAAACTTTACCCCGAGCTACACTCGGGAATACCGCCAGGGGGGTTAAGGGGGAGCGGGAGAGCAGTCCTTAAAGTGGAACTTCCCCTTTTGGGTGGAGCTCCGCTTTAAATGGCTGGTCAGGGTAGCTTCTGTTCTAATAGGATGTTTAAAAACCGTCCTTGTTTAAAGAGTGACTCCACTTTGGTTGAGACCCCTTTTTGCTTTAATTCCAGCCTTTAGTCTGTTGGGATGTCTCTACTAACTTTGCACATCTAGACTTTGCAATAGTTGCCCGCTCTTCTTTGGAGAATGACTCAAGTTCAGGTAAATTTGATGGTGATGTTTGGGGACTGCAGTCTTCAAGTCATTCCACAGATTTTCAATGGGGTTTAAGTCTGGACTCTGACTAGGCCATGCAAGGACATTCACCTTTTTCCCCCTCCACTACTGCAGGGTCATATTTGCTGTGTGCTTTGGCTCATGTTGGAAGGTAAACCTTCTTCCCATTGACAACTGGGAGAGGGTGGCAGATTTTCCTCCAGAATGTGATGGGATTTTGCCCTGTCCATTTTTCCTTCTGTCTTGCCAAGTGCTCCAGTCCCTGGCTGCAGTGAACCCCTCATAACAGGATATTCCCCCCTCCATGCTGTACTGTAGGAATGGTGGGATTTGGATGGTGAGCTGGATTGGATTTCCACCAGACATAGCGTTTAGTGTTGAGGTGAAATCATTCCATTTCAGTCTCTTCTGACCAGAACCCCTTTTTCCATGTGACCTCAGAATCTTCAAGGTGCATTTTGGCAAAGCTCAGTGGTGATCGCATGCAGCCTTTCTTGAGCGACTTTTTCCTTGCAACCCTCCCATACAAGCCACATTTGTGGAGGATTTGTGATATTGGTGTCACATGCACACAATGACCGCTCTTTGTCATCAATTCCTGACACGGCTTCAGAGTTGCTGTAGGCCTCTTGGTAACCTCTCTGACCAGTTTCCGTTATCCAGTTTGGAGCGACGTCCTCATCCAGGGAGGGTCTGTGTTGTACCAAATACCTTCCACTTCATAATAGACTTCACTCTGCTTCTAGGCATTGATAAAGCCTTTGACATGTTTTTGTATCCATCTCCTGACTTGTGCCTGTCCACAACTTGATCACAGAGACCCCCGGTGACAGTGCCTTGCCACCCATAGTAGATTGTTTGCATCATTTGCACTACCGGGAACTGAAATGCTCCAGGAAAGCTCTTTTCATGCTGAGCTAATCAAAATGACCTGCAATGACCCCAAAATGACCTGCATTGTTGCTGTGTTGTTTCCCTTTATATTGTAAAGCGCTGTGCAAACTATTGGCACTGTGTGAATGCTGTATAATAATAATTTATTACCTTCGGTCATGCGAAGTCTTTCCTAGCTGTAGAGATTTTGATGTCCTGAGCTGGCTGTCCCTCCCACCATCTAAATGTATAATGTTCAATTCAGAAATTGCTATGATTACGTATTGATTGTGTCTTTCCAGCTGTGGATCAGACTGCTTTCCAGAAGGCGTTGCTGCAAGCGTTAAGGAAGCAGACCAGATCTTCAAATGTGAGTACATGGAGCTTGGATTCAGCAGAGATGAGGTGATGAAAGCAGAATAAATAGACAAGTGCAAGGATTTGAGTGGCTTTGACAAGGGCCCAAATGGCTGGACAACTGGGTCAGAGCAACTCCAAAACTGCAGCTCTTGTGGGTTGTTCCCGGTCTGCAGTGGTCAGGACCGACCAAAAGTGCTCCAGGGAAGGAGAACCTGTGAACTGGCGACGGGGTCTTGGGCGACCAAGGTTCACATGTAGGGAGGGAAGGTTGGCCCGTGTAGTCCAATCCAATAGAAGAGCTACTGCTCAGATTACATGGAGCTTGGATTCAGCAGAGATGAGATGATGAAAGCAGAATAGACAAGTGCAAGGATTTGAGTGACTTTGACAAGGGCCCAATTGTAATGGCAGGACAACTGGGTCAGAGCAACTCCAAAACTGCAAGTCTTGTGGGTTGTTCCCGGCCTGCAGTGGTCAGGACCGACCAAAAGTGCTCCAAGGAAGGAGAACCTGTGAATCGGTGACAGGGTCTCGGGCGGCCAAGGTTCACATGTAGGGAGGGAAGGCTGGCCCGTGTAGTCCGATCCAATAGAAGAGCTACTGCTCAGATTACATGGAGCTTGGATTCAGCAGAGATGAGGGGATGAAAGCAGAATAAATAGACAAGTGCAAGGATTTGAGTGGCTTTGACAAGGGCCCAAATGGCTGGACATCTGGGTCAGAGCAACTCCAAAACTGCAGCTCTTGTGGGTTGTTCCCGGTCTGCAGTGGTCAGGACCAGGGGTGGACTGACAACTCATGGGGCCCCCGGGCAATAGGGGATCATGGGGCCCCTGTGTCCTTGCCCACACTCAAACCACACCCAAAAAAGCCTATGAAAGGTACCAGGGGCATCTCATGGGTCCCCCTACTGACCCCCGGCCCTCGGGCAGTGCCCGAGTTTCTCAAATGGTCAGTCTGCCCTGGTCAGGACTGACCAAAAGTGCTAGAGAAGTAGAACCTGTGAACCGGCGACAGGGCCAAGGTTCACATGTAGGTAGGGAAGGCTGGCCCATGTAGTCCGATCCAATAGAAGAGCTACTGCTCAGATTGCTGGTTCTGATAGAGAGGTGTCAGAACACACAGAGCATTTTCAGTTTGTTGCGTGAGTTGACTTGGCCTCTAAATTCTCCAGATCTCAATCCATCTGTGCTGGAAATTCCAATCCATTGAGGCCTCACTTCACAACTTACAGGACTTGAAGGATCTGCTACTGATGGTTTGGTGCCGGATACCACAACCTGCCTTCAGAAGTGTAGTAGAGTCCATGCCTGGATGGGTCAGGGCTGTTTTAGTGGCAAAAGGGGGACCTAGTCAATATTAGGTGGGGGGTTGACCAGTATACTGTATATGTGTGTGGAGAGCCATTCATTGACCATTTTCCAGGTCAAGCTTCCACAGTATTTGTTGTAACATAAACCAATGGGCACATTGTTCTTCTCTGCATGAATACAAATGATGGATGTGATCTGTATGTAGGTGACGGAGGAGTTTATGGCGGGGCTGGAGTCACATATTGAAGATCGGGAATATTCAGGAATTGTCTTCTTCCATGTGGACGATCTAATAAGGAGGAGGAGGGGTGAGCTCTCCTGTCTGTGTGTTTGTTTATTCTCCATGCTTTCCTATGTATATGAAGAATTCATCCTCAACTCCACAGGAGACTCTGTAGCTTTACCCCCCCCCCCTTCCTGATATGGGGTAATCTACTCCCGAGGTACTACAAATCTCCTGTGTGGTTTCAGCCTATTTAACCCCTCACCCTCCAGAGGATTCCCCCCCCCCTTCCTGATACGGGGTAATCTACTCTTGAGGTACTACAAATCTCCTGTGTGGTTTCAGCCTATTTAACCCCCCGCCCTCCAGAGGATTTACCCCCCCCCCCCCTTTCCTGATACGGGGCAATCTACTCTTGAGGTACTACAAATCTCCTGTGTGGTTTCAGCCTATTTAACCCCCCGCCCTCCAGAGGATTTACCCCCCCCCCCCCTTTCCTGATACGGGGTAATCTACTCTTGAGGTACTACAAATCTCCTGTGTGGTTTCAGCCTATTTAACCCCCCCCGCCCTCCAGAGGATTTACCCCCCCCCCCCCCCCACCCTTTCTGATACGGGGTAATCTACTTCTGAGGTGCTGCAAATCTCCTGTGTGGTTTCAGCCTATTTAACCCCTCTCCCTCCAGAGGATTTACCCCCGCTCCCCCCCCCCCCCCCCTTCCTGATACGGGGTAATCTACTCTTGAGGTACTACAAAATCTCCTGTGTGGTTTAGAGCCTATTTAACCCCTCGCCCTCCAGAGGATTTACCCCCGCTCCCCCCCCCCCCCTTCCTGATACGGAGTAATCTACTCTTGAGGTACTACAAATCTCCTGTGTGGTTTACAGCCTATTTAACCCCTCGCCCTCCAGAGGATTTACACCCCCCCCCCCCCCCCCCCTTTCCTGATACCCAACTATCTAGATTCCTGTATCCCTCCATGTACTTCATATATTTTATGATGAGTATAAAAATCAGATGTCCCACTCACTGTCATCTTATCACCTCTTTTTCTTCTCTCAGTAATCCGGCCTTCAGGTCATTTCATGACAGCCTCATCAAGATCCTATTGGGAAGTGAGACCTTACAGGTATGTCCGTGATTATCCATTCTTACTGACATTTTTGGTGAAATGTTTCGATGTTGTTACTTTCACAAACCTTCTGTGTTGTTTAGGGGCCTTTGATAAACATGCTGTTTGAGAAGATCCCGGAATTTCTGTATGACAGGTACACTTTATTTCTCTTGTATCAGTTATGTCATATTAGAACTACTCACGGAGTCCTCTCATTTCTACCTTTGTGTTTCCAGTGTCGGCAGTGACGGAATCAGCATTCCTCGTCTAATCATCAATCAGCTGAAATGGCTGGATCTGGTTGTAAGCAGCAAGGTAATGTCTGTGCAGGATAGTCTCAGTGCTCTGCCCGGCTCTATTCTCTGTGGTCAGTTTCTGCACAGGATGTCCATGCAGCACCTATGACTTAATCAAAAGGTAGGTGGGCCTGATGGAAAACAAATCTCTCAATTTCCATCAGGCTTCACCCACTTCACTATAAAACTCCTTGGCTGTGTGCCTGGGGGGGGGGGGGGGGGGGTCTCCTTGCACATTTTTGGAACCCTGATGATGTTGAGTTTCTGACGATGACAGGATCACTATTTCTGATATGGGCTTTAGATGAAGTCCCTGGAAGCTTGGTGTAGTCTCTGACATCTCTATGTAGGACCTCTCTGACATCTCTATGTAGGATCTCTCTGTAATCTCTATGTAGGACCTCTCTGTAATCTCTATGTAGGACCTCTCTGTAATCTCTATGTAGGACCTGTCTGCAATCTCTAAGTAGGATCTCTCTGCAATCTATAAGTAGGACCTCTCTGCAATCTGTGTAGGAGCTCTCTGACATCTCTATGTAGGAGCTCTCTGACATCTCTATGTAGGATCTCTCTGCAATCTCTATGTAGGATCTCTCTGCAATCTCTATGTAGGATCTCTCTGTAATCTCTATGTAGGACCTCTCTGACATCTCTATGTAGGACCTCTCTGACATCTCTATGTAGGACCTCTCTGTAATCTCTATGTAGGACCTCTCTGTAATCTCTATGTAGGACCTCTCTGTAATCTCTATGTAGGACCTCTCTGACATCTCTATGTAGGACCTCTCTCTGACATCTCTATGTAGGACCTCTCTGACATCTCTATGTAGGACCTCTCTGTAATCTCTATGTAGGACCTCTCTGTAATCTCTATGTAGGACCTCTCTGCAGTCTCTATGTAGGACCTCTCTGACATCTCTATGTATTACCTCTCTGTAATCTCTATGTAGGACCTCTCTGCAATCTCTATGTAGGACCTCTCTGCAATCTCTATGTAGGACCTCTCTGTAATCTCTATGTAGGACCTCTCTGCAATCTCTATGTAGGACCTCTCTGACATCTCTATGTAGGACCTCTCTGACATCTCTATGTAGGACCTCTCTGACATCTCTATGTAGGACCTCTCTGTAATCTCTATGTAGGACCTCTCTGTAATCTCTATGTAGGACCTCTCTGTAATCTCTATGTAGGAATTCTCTGCAGTCTCTATGTAGGACCTCTCTGCAGTCTCTATGTAGGACCTCTCTGACATCTCTATGTAGGACCTCTCTGACATCTCTATGTAGGACCTCTCTGACATCTCTATGTAGGATCTCTCTGCAATCTCTATGTAGGATCTCTCTGTAATCTCTATGTAGGACCTCTCTGACATCTCTATGTAGGACCTCTCTGACATCTCTATGTAGGACCTCTCTGTAATCTCTATGTAGGACCTCTCTGTAATCTCTATGTAGGACCTCTCTGTAATCTCTATGTAGGACCTCTCTGACATCTCTATGTAGGACCTCTCTGACATCTCTATGTAGGACCTCTCTGACATCTCTATGTAGGACCTCTCTGTAATCTCTATGTAGGACCTCTCTGTAATCTCTATGTAGGACCTCTCTGCAGTCTCTATGTAGGACCTCTCTGACATCTCTATGTATTACCTCTCTGTAATCTCTATGTAGGACCTCTCTGCAATCTCTATGTAGGACCTCTCTGCAATCTCTATGTAGGACCTCTCTGTAATCTCTATGTAGGACCTCTCTGCAATCTCTATGTAGGACCTCTCTGACATCTCTATGTAGGACCTCTCTGCAGTCTCTATGTAGGACCTCTCTGTAATCTCTATGTAGGACCTCTCTGACATCTCTATGTAGGACCTCTCTGCAATCTCTATGTAGGACCTCTCTGACATCTCTATGTAGGACCTCTCTGCAATCTCTATGTAGGACCTCTCTGTAATCTCTATGTAGGACCTCTCTGCAATCTCTATGTAGGACCTCTCTGACATCTCTATGTAGGACCTCTCTGCAATCTCTATGTAGGACCTCTCTGTAATCTCTATGTAGGACCTCTCTGCAATCTCTATGTAGGACCTCTCTGACATCTCTATGTAGGACCTCTCTGACATCTCTATGTAGGACCTCTCTGACATCTCTATGTAGGACCTCTCTGTAATCTCTATGTAGGACCTCTCTGTAATCTCTATGTAGGACCTCTCTGTAATCTCTATGTAGGAATTCTCTGCAGTCTCTATGTAGGACCTCTCTGCAGTCTCTATGTAGGACCTCTCTGACATCTCTATGTAGGACCTCTCTGACATCTCTATGTAGGACCTCTCTGACATCTCTATGTAGGACCTCTCTGACATCTCTATGTAGGACCTCTCTGAAATCTCTATGTAGGACCTCTCTGATATCTCTATGTAGGACCTCTCTGACATCTCTATGTAGGACCTCTCTGACATCTCTATGTAGGTCCTCTCTGACATCTCTATGTAGGACCTCTCTGACATCTCTATGTAGGACCTCTCTGATATCTCTATGTAGGACCTCTCTGATATCTCTATGTAGGAACTCTCTGTAATCTCTGTGTAGGAGCTCTTTGTAATCTCTGCTGTCTTTTAGGATCTCTCTGTAATCTGTCATCTCTATGTTGATCTCTCTTTAAAGGATAGGTTCACCTTTTTTGTTGCAGGTAAAAAAAATGAGCATTTATTATTTTTGTCTAAAGGAGCCTGGAAAGCATTGCATCAGTGATCAGTAGATCGCTCATGCCATGCAGGTCTCCTGCAGACCTGTCAGAATATCTGCTTGCCATACGGGATGTACGACCAAGCAGATATACTGACGGCAAGCTTCAGTGAAGTACCATGGCTCTCCACAGCACCCTGGTAGTTCATTGAAACCTACAAGCCGACAGCCGCTAAGGCTTGCAGTTCATTCATTCATGGAAGTCCTGTTTTCAAATTTGACAGATAGTATGGGGAGAGGTCTCCTCTTACTATCTGTCAGAGGGAGGGGGAGGGGGCCGGCTATGGGAACGTGTTACATGTTCCACCCTAAAAATGGGTGGAACATGTAATATGTTCCCAAAGGTGAACTTATCCTTTAATCTGTTATCTTTAGGTAGGGTCTCCTCAGTAATCTCTGTTTCTCCTTTTGTAGGATCTGACTTCTAAGATCATGCAGCTGATCCTGGTATCCCCGGCTGATGTCCAGCAACACATCATCAGCAGCCTTCCCGAAATCCTGGAGGACTCTGAGCACAATGATGTCGCTAAGGAGCTCAGGTGTGTTTGTATAACAGAAAGGGGGTTATGTACTAAAACTGCATGGTGCAAAATCTGGCACAGCTCTGCATAGAAAGCAATCCGCTTCAGTTTTTTTTTCATTTTATTTATTTATTTATTTTTTTTTTTTTTGTGAAAGCTTAATAGAACAAGCTGAAGTTAGAAGCTGATTGGCTACCATGCACAGCTGCACCAGATTCTGAGTGCTCCAGTGTTAGTAAATTCCCCCAAAATATGTTTTAGTCCATCCACATACACAACAGGTATAATGAGAACCAAATGGGATCTGTCCTTCTCTTTTTCCCTCACTTCTATTTTCTGAGGGATAATTTTATTTATCTATTTCAGGTACTTATATATCACCGTTATTTTACGCAGTGCTTTACATATATATTGTACATTCACATCAGTCCCTAACCCTCAAGGGGCGTACAATCTAAGGCCCCTAACCCTCAAGGGGGTGTACAATCTAAGGTCCCTAACCCTCAAGGGGTGTACAATCTAAGGCCCCTAACCCTCAAGGGGTGTACAATCTAAGGCCCCTAACCCTCAAGAGGCGTACAATCTAAGGTCCCTAACCCTCAAGGGGTGTACAATCTAAGGTCCCTAACCCTCAAGGGGTGTACAATCTAAGGCCCCTAACCCTCAAGGGGCGTACAATCTAAGGTCCCTAACCCTCAAGGGGTGCGTACAATCTAAGGTCCCTAACCCTCAAGGGGCATACAATCTAAGGCCCCTAACCCTCAAGGGGCGTACAATCTAAGGTCCCTAACCCTCAAGGGGTGTACAATCTAAGGTCCCTAACCCTCAAGGGGTGTACAATCTAAGGTCCCTAACCCTCAAGGGGCGTACAATCTAAGGTCCCTAACCCCTCAAGGGGTGTACAATCTAAGGTCCCTAACCCTCAAGGGGTGTACAATCTAAGGTCCCTAACCCTCAAGGGGTGTACAATCTAAGGTCCCTAACCCTCAAGGGGTGTACAATCTAAGGTCCCTAACCCTCAAGTGGCGTACAATCTAAGGTCCCTAACCCTCAAGGGGCGTACAATCTAAGGTCCCTAACCCTCAAGGGGCGTACAATCTAAGGTCCCTAACCCTCAAGAGGCGTACAATCTAAGGTCCCTAACCCTCAAGGGGCGTACAATCTAAGGTCCCTAACCCTCAAGGGGCGTACAATCTAAGGTCCCTAACCCTCAAGGGGTGTACAATCTAAGGTCCCTAACCCTCAAGGGGCGTACAATCTAAGGTCCCTAACCCTCAAGGGGGTGTACAATCTAAGGCCCCTAACCCTCAAGGGGTGTACAATCTAAGGTCCCTAACCCTCAAGGGGTGTACAATCTAAGGTCCCTAACCCTCAAGGGGTGTACAATCTAAGGTCCCTAACCCTCAAGGGGCGTACAATCTAAGGTCCCTAACCCTCAAGGGGTGTACAATCTAAGGTCCCTAACCCTCAAGGGGTGTACAATCTAAGGTCCCTAACCCTCAAGGGGCATACAATCTAAGGTCCCTAACTCACATTCATACATACACATACTAGGGCCAATTTAGACAGGATCCAATTAACCTACCAGCATGTCTTTGGAGTGAATGCTCTTCCCTGTGTAGCCCATGTATGTTGTCTTAGTAATGTGTCTATGTGTTCGTCCAGCTCTCTCCTCCAGCAGAATTCCCAGCTCACTGTCCCCATTCTAGATGCCTTCTCCGGCCTAAACCTGAACACCGAGCTTCTCACAGAGGTATCGTCCTTCTCAATAAAACCTGCAACTCTGGCTTTTCATTGGGTGTACACCACTAATCTCTTCCTTTTCCAGGTTCGCCAATGGGTGATGTCTACACTGTCCGCTGTGGACCTAGAAGTGGTGCCAGTTATAGTGAAGTTCGTCCTTCATACGGTCACCCCGACAGATGCAGTGGAGGTATTGTCTTTTTATCTATTGGAAGACATTAGGGTTGATTTACTAAGGGTAACAAACTCTGCACTTTGCAAGTGAAGTTGCTCCAGCGCTTAGTAAATGAGGTAAAGCTTCACTTTACAAAGAATACCCAATCACATGCAAGGAAAATATATACACATGATTTGCTTGCTGCGCATGATTTAGGTGATGGAAGTCAGCAGACCCGCCTCTCACCCCCTGCAAAGTGCACAGTCTATATTTGCCCATAGTAAAACAACCCCATTGTATGCAATAGTAGTTTACTGAAAATGATTGTACAGTAGTCTGAGCTCTGCATAGAAACCATTCTCTCTCTTCATTCTTCTCTCTCTCTTTCTCCCTCTCTCGTCTCTCTCCTCTCTCGTCTCTCGGGTCTCTCTCTCCCCTCTCCCCCCCCCCCCTCTCTTCCCACTCCCTCTCCCCCCCCTTTCCCCCCCCTCTCTCCCCGCCCCCCCTCTCTCCCCCCCCCGTTCTCTCTCTCTCCCCTCTCCCCTCCCTTTCTCCCCCCCTCCCTCCCCCCCCCTTTCCCCCTTTCTCCCCAAATTGACTTTCTCTCTCTCCCCCCCCCCCCCCTCTCCCCCCGTTCTCTCTCTCCCTCTCTCCCCCCCTCTCTCCCTTGCTCTCCCCCCCCCCTCTCTCTCCCCCCCTCTCTCCTCTTTCTCTCTCTTCTCTCCCTTTCTCTCTCTCTCCCTTTCTCTCTTCTCTCCCTTTCTCTCTCCTCTTCCCCCCCCCCCTCCCCTCTTCTCTCTCCCCCCTCTCTCCTCTTCTCTCTCCCCCCCTCTCGCCTCTTCTCTCTCCCCCCTCTCTCCTCTTCTCTCTCCCTCTCTCCCCCCCTCCCCCTCCTCTTCTCTCCCTTTCCCCCTCTCTCCCCCCCTCCCCCCTCTCCCCGCCCCCTTTCTCCCCCCCCCCTCCTCTCCCCTCTCTCCCCCCTCTCTCTGTTCCCTCTTCCCCCCTCTCTCCTCTTCCCCTCTCTCTCCCTCTTCCCCTCTCTCTCCCCTCTCTGTGTGAACTAATATACACTCACCGGCTACTCTGTTAGGTACACCTGTTCAATCGCATCATAATGGGGAACAAAAGGGGATTTAAGTGGCTTTTAATGTGGCATGGTTGTTGGTGCCTGATGGGCTGGTCTGAGTATTTCAAAAACTGCCGATCTACTGCAATTGTCACGCACAACCATCTTTAGGGTTTACAAAGAATGGTCCGAAAAAGAGAAAATATCCAGTGAGGGGTGGTTGTGTGGATGAAAATGCTTGGTTGATGTCAGAGGAGAATGGGCAGACTGGTTCTAGATGATAGAAAGAAGACAGTAACTCAAATAATCACTCGTTACAACCAAGGTATGCAGAATACCATCTCTGAACACACAACAGGCTGAACGTTAAAGCAGATGGGCTACAGCAGCAGAAGACCACACCGAGTGCCACTCCTGTCAGCTAAGAACAGGAAACGGAGGCTACCATTGGCACAGAAATAAACATAAAATTAGTGAAGCGCTTGTATCTCATGAATACAATCATGTGTCTCCATAAAGTATAATAGTAAATCAAAGTGACCACGATATATATTAAAAATATGTGAACTCCCTCTAGTGGATAGAAAAAATAATGTCAACCGAAATGACTATAATGGCTAAATATCACACATTAAGAACCTAAATAAGTAGTGCATAAATCAGATATACTAAACAAAGTATATATACATGAAAACAGAATAATTGGCCACATACAATGGTGTCTAAATCAAACATAACTAATATATGCCATAAGTGAAAAAGACAATATCAAAGGTGAAAAAATATTCCATGCATGTGACTGTGCTTTAAGCTGGAACACACACGTGATCTCCACTTCTAAGTGCAAGTACTCTCCTTCAAATGGCAGCAATGCCTGCTCACCTCCCTTCCTCGACCCACACAGGGCCTCAAAGCAGTTACCACCTCAGTGGTGTATTCCTCTGGCAGACTCCTTAATCCTCCTCCTCTCTTATGCAACTCATAAAAAGACAAGAAAGACAAGAAAGGGTACCCTGATGAAGTCACGATGCACGTGACGCAACGCGTCGGTTTGTCTACTTCCTGGTGACGTATGTCCGGACACAGTGGCCATATTGGATTCCCCCAGGTGCATGCATATCTACCCACAGGCTGGGAAAAACGCTTGTTTATGGAAAGGAGCATGTGAGTGGTTTACTTTGTCACTTTTTACTTTGCCTATTAAAACTTACTACACTATGGAAGGCTTTCTTGTCTTTTTATGAGTTGCATAAGAGAGGAGGAGGATTAAGGAGTCTGCCAGAGGAATACACCACTGAGGTGGTAACTGCTTTGAGGCCCTGTGTGGGTCGAGGAAGGGAGGTGAGCAGGCATTGCTGCCATTTGAAGGAGAGTACTTGCACTTAGAAGTGGAGATCACGTGTGTGTTCCAGCTTAAAGCACAGTCACATGCATGGAATATTTTTTCACCTTTGATATTGTCTTTTTCACTTATGGCATATATTAGTTATGTTTGATTTAGACACCATTGTATGTGGCCAATTATTCTGTTTTCATGTATATATACTTTGTTTAGTATATCTGATTTATGCACTACTTATTTAGGTTCTTAATGTGTGATATTTAGCCATTATAGTCATTTCGGTTGACATTATTTTTTCTATCCACTAGAGGGAGTTCACATATTTTTAATATATATCGTGGTCACTTTGATTTACTATTATACTTTATGGAGACACATGATTGTATTCATGAGATACAAGCGCTTCACTAATTTTATGTTTATTTCTTGCACTTATTGGTATTAGTTAAAGTGACAGCAGCTGTATTGTGTCAGTTATTCCCATGAGCGCAGGAGGATCCCATACTATTTACCATTGGCACAGGCTCACCAAAATTGGACAATAGAAGATTGGAAAAACGTTGCCTGATTTGATGAGTCTGGATTTCAGCTGCAACATTCAGATGGTAGGGTCAGAAATCGGCGTAAAAAAACATGAAAGCATCGATCCTTCCTGCCTTGTATCCACAGTTCATGGATGTGCAGCCAACAAATCTGCAGCAACTGCGTGATTCTATCGTGTACACATGGACCAAAATCTCTGAGGAATGTTCCCAACAGCTTGTTGAATCTACGCCACAAAGAATGGAGGCAGTTCTGAAGACAGAAGGGGGTCTAGCCCGGTACTAGTAAGGTGGACTTAAAACTGAGCTCCACCCAAAGGGGGAAGTTCCGCTTTAAATCTTTGTCCCCCGCTCCCCATTAAGGTTTGGCAACTTTGGGGAGCGGGTACCTGAATTTGACAGGTATCCTCTCCCAGAAGACTACGAGGCCATTTACAAAGCGCAGCTCTACTCGCGCATGCGCAGTGGGCACCCGGCTGTGAAGCCTCAAGCTGTCAGCTGGGTGCCCACACTGAAGATGTCGGCGCCAGGGAGAGAAGACGGCCGTGTGAAACCAGCCGTGGTGAGGACACCGCTAAACCGAGGGACAGTAAGTGGCTGTATTTTAAAAGTCAGCAGCTACATTTTTTGTAGCTGCTGACTTTTTTTTTTTTTTCTCAGGTGGAACTCCGCTTTAATAAAGTGGCTGATGTGTATATCTATGTATGTTTGTGTGTGTGTGTGTACACATATAGACATACTACCATTTTGGCATGGGGGAGGAGAAACAGAGGCATACTGGGGCAATATAAAAAGAAGCACATGTTTCGGTGGCAAAAAGGACATAAGACACAGAGTACTCCCGCTCCCTGCAGCCAGCAGACTCTGAATGCTCCACCTTCATTCAGCAGTGGGGAGAGACCATAGCAGCCAGATGGATAGTATTCAGCAGGAAAAGCATGGCTACCATTTGAAGAGTTTAAATCCTGCCCAGTGCTATTTTTTTTCCCTCTGTAATAAATGGAGGAGAAGTATATAGAGTGCGCTGGCTATCACTTCCTGCCCGCTGCACTTCCTGGCACTGCTGCTCCCTTTTAACCTTCCTATTTCATCACCTTACCATCTTCCAATTTTCGACGGTACTGTACAGAGAACACTGAGCAAGTCCCATCAGTCTCTGCACCAGAGGAGCTTACACTCTAATGTCCCCTCCCCCACGGTCACACACTATTATTATACATTTATAAAGCCCTGACATATACCGCAGTGCTGTACAGAGATCACTGAGCCAGTCACATCAGTCTCTGTACCAGAGGAGCTTACACTCTAATGTCCCCTCCCCCACAGTCACATCAGTCTCTGTACCAGAGGAGCTTACACTCCATTGTCCCCTCCCCCACAGTCACATCAGTCTCTGCACCAGAGGAGCTTACACTCCAATGTCCCCTCCACCACAGTCACATCAGTCTCTGTACCAGAGGAGCTTACACTCTAATGCCTCCTCCCTCACAGTCACATCAGTCTCTGCACCAGAGGAGCTTACACTCTAATGTCCCCCCCCACAGTCACATCAGTCTCTGTACCAGAGGAGCTTACACTCTAATGTCCCCTCCCCCACAGTCACATCAGTCTCTGCACCAGAGGAGCTTACACTCCAATGTCCCCTCCACCACAGTCACATCAGTCTCTGTACCAGAGGAGCTTACACTCTAATGCCTCCTCCCCCACAGTCACATCAGTCTCTGCACCAGAGGAGCTTACACTCTAATGTCCCCCCCCACAGTCACATCAGTCTCTGTACCAGAGGAGCTTACACTCTAATGTCTCCTCCCCCACAGTCACATCAGTCTCTGCACAAGAGGAGCTTACACTCCAATGTCCCCTCCCCCACAGTCACATCAGTCTCTGTACCAGAGGAGCTTACACTCTAATGTCCCCTCCCCCACAGTCACATCAGTCTCTGTACCAGAGGAGCTTACACTCCATTGTCCCCTCCCCCACAGTCACATCAGTCTCTGCACCAGAGGAGCTTACACTCCAATGTCCCCTCTCCCCACAGTCACATCAGTCTCTGTACCAGAGGAGCTTACACTCTAATGTCCCCTCCCCCACAGTCACATCAGTCTCTGCACAAGAGGAGCTTACACTCTAATGTCCCCTCCCATCAGTCTGTACAGAGGAGTAACTCTAATGTCCCCTCCCACCACACTACTATTATTATTATTATACATGTATATAGCTCTGACATATACCGCAGCGCGCTGTACAGAGATCACTGAGCCAATCATTTTATATCTTCATCTCCAGTATACTTTTTCCACATCACCATGTAGAAATAGAGCACCACAACTACACGCTCTCCATTGTGGGGAACCCGGGAAGGATTTCCACACAGAAATTGGATCTGGAGTTGACTACCTGCCACTCAGAGTAGAAATAGAGCAGGTGATGCTTCTGGTGGGCAAGGGACAAGAGTTCTGCACTTCAAAAAAATGTTTGGCCGATTCCTTTTTTCTAATACAGAGAGGGGAAAAACTGCCTCAATGTTCTCTCTTCCTGCAGGTCATTTCTGAGCTCCGCCAGAAATTGGATGTGGAGTGTGTGTGTTTCTCTTTCACAGCTACCTGCCATCAGAGTAAATAGCAAAGTCCTGCAAAGAGGTAAGTACAAGACACCACCCCTGTATGCAGAGGTATGTACAAGACACGATCCCTGTATACAGAGGGATGTACAGACACCACCCCTGTATACAGAGGTATGTACAGACACGATCCCTGTATACAGAGGTATGTACAAGACACCACCCCTGTATGCAGAGGTAAGTACAAGACACCACCCCTGTATACAGAGGTATGTACAAGACACCATCCCCTGTATGCAGAGGTATGTACGAGACACGATCCCTGTATACAGAGGTATGTACAAGACACGATCCCTGTATACAGAGGTATGTACGAGACACGATCCCTGTATAGAGAGGTATGTACAAGACACGATCCCTGTATACAGAGGGATGTACAAGACACCACCCTGTATACAGAGGTATGTACAAGACACGATCCCTGTATACAGAGGTATGTACAAGACACGATCCCTGTATACAGAGGTATGTACAAGACACGATCCCTGTATACAGAGGTATGTACAAGACACGATCCCTGTATAGAGAGGTATGTACAAGACACGATCCCTGTATACAGAGGTATGTACGAGACACCACCCCTGTATACAGAGGTATGTACAAGACACCACCCCTGTATACAGAGGTATGTACAAGACACGATCCCTGTATACAGAGAGGTATCTACAAGACACGATCCCTGTATACAGAGGTATGTACAAGACACGATCCCTGTATACAGAGGTATGTACGAGACACGATCCCTGTATACAGAGGTATGTACGATCCCTGTATACAGAGGTATGTACGAGACACGATCCCTGTATACAGAGGTATGTACAAGACACGATCCCTGTATACAGAGGTATGTACAAGACACGATCCCTGTATACAGAGGTATGTACAAGACACCCCTGTATATCCCGATGTATACAGAGGTATGTACAAGACACGATCCCTGTATACAGAGGTATGTACAAGACACGATCCCTGTATACAGAGGTATGTACGAGACGACGATCCCTGTATACAGAGGTATGTACAGACGACGCTCCCTGTAGGAAGAGAGGTGTCCTTCGAACACGATCCCTGATACTTCCTCCAGAGGTGTGCATTTGCATCTTGCCTTTAAGACCCTTTGAGGACTGACATGCCTGTATACGCTGTTTGTGAGTACCATTCGCGAATCCCTGTACTGAGGTAGCGCAAGGTTGGTGCACTTCTTTTTTCTTTTTGATCCCTCACATACAGAGGTATGTACGAGACACCACCCTGTATACAGAGGTATGTACGAGACACCATCCCTGTATACAGAGGTATGTACGAGACACGATCCCTGTATACAGAGGTATGTACGAGACACGATCCCTGTATACAGAGGGATGTACGAGACACCACCCCTGTATACAGAGGTATGTACGAGACACGATCCCTGTATACAGAGGTATGTACGAGACACGATCCCTGTATACAGAGGTATGTACGAGACACGATCCCTGTATACAGAGGTATGTACGAGACACGATCCCTGTATACAGAGGGATGCACGAGACACGATCCCTGTATACAGAGGGATGCACGAGACACGATCCCTGTATACAGAGGGATGCACGAGACACGATCCCTGTATACAGAGGGATGCACGAGACACGATCCCTGTATACAGAGGGATGCACGAGACACGATCCCTGTATACAGAGGGATGCACGAGACACGATCCCTGTATACAGAGGGATGCACGAGAACGACACGATCCCTGTATACAGAGGGATGCACGAGACACGATCCCTGTATACAGAGAGGATGCACGAGACACGATCCCTGTATACAGAGGGATGCACGAGACACGATCCCTGTATACAGAGGGATGCACGAGACACGATCCCTGTATAGAGAGGGATGCACGAGACCCGATCCCTGTATAGAGAGGGATGCATGAGACCCCCACCCCTGTATAGAGAGGGATGCACGAGACACCACCCCTGTATACAGAGGGATGCACGAGACCCCCACCCCCTGTATACAGAGGGATGCACGAGACCCCCACCCCTGTATACAGAGGGATGCACAAGATACACCTGTAATGCAGGTCTCTTTCTGTCACTCTGGGGTGGATTTACTAAAGGCAAGCTGACTGTGGGCAATGCTAAGTGCAGTTGCTCCAGAGCTTAGTAAATGAGGGGAAGCGTCACTTTGCAAAGATTACCCAATCACCTGCAAGACAAGAAAAACAAAAAGAACAGTATTTTGCTTGCACGTGATTGGATGATGGAAGTCATCCGTTTCCCCTCATTTACTAAGCTCTGGAGCAAAAGCACCTGCAAAGTGCACAGTCTATTTTCCTTTAGTAACTCAACCCTTCTGTGTCTTCCTCAGCTCCACGAAGGCCCCAGAGAAAGGCAGCCATGACTGTGTCACAATCCTTACCGAGGTGATAAAGTCGGCCGTCTGGTTCCAGAAACACGTGTGTGAAGCCTGGATCAAAGTGAGTCCTGAAATATTGCTTTTTTTTTTTTTTTTTTTTGTGATCTGGTTATTTGTATTGTATCTGAATAGTCAACCTTTCTTACTGTCACATTCTCTGCTCATCAGACCGGGTGCAGACCTCACGGTAGATACCTTGCAGCACTCTGTCGTGTCTTTATAGATGTATATATGCAGACGAGGAGTGTGGAGGGTATGGCAGGGACGGTGCAGCCCTCTGTCGTGTCTTTATAGTTGTATATGTGCAGACGAGGAGTGTGGAGGGTATGGCAGGGACGGTGCAGCCCTCTGACATGTCTATATAGTTGTATATGTGCAGACGAGGAGTGTGGAGGGTATGGCAGGGACGGTGCAGCCCTCTGTCGTGTCTTTATAGTTGTATATGTGCAGACGAGGAGTGTGGAGGGTATGGCAGGGACGGTGCAGCCCTCTGACATGTCTATATAGTTGTATATGTGCAGACGAGGAGTGTGGAGGGTATGGCAGGGACGGTGCAGCCCTCTGACATGTCTATATAGTTGTATATGTGCAGACGAGGAGTGTGGAGGGTATGGCAGGGACGGTGCAGCCCTCTGTCATGTCTATATAGTTGTATATGTGCAGACGAGGAGTGTGGAGGGTATGGCAGGGACGGTGCAGCCCTCTGTCATGTCTATATAGTTGTATATGTGCAGACGAGGAGTGTGGAGGGTATGGCAGGGACGGTGCAGCCCTCTGTCATGTCTATATAGTTGTATATGTGCAGACGAGGAGTGTGGAGGGTATGGCAGGGACGGTGCAGCCCTCTGTCATGTCTATATGTTCAGACCTCAGTGTTGATGTCATGTTTGCTTGTTGTCTTTCAGGCTATAGAGAGTGTGAACAATGCAGAGGAACACAAGGTAGGACGGTGTGGTGAATAGACGTTACCTCTGTAGGAGGGAATGGACATGTCCTGATGGCTGTATGATTTCTGCCCTGATTTCCCTGCAGGTCACAGACTTTTTGGTTCTCCTCATCCTTTACTCAACTAACCCAAACAGTAAGAAACAAGTGGAGCGCGTGCTGCGAAACAAGATCCGCTGCGGTTTCATCACCAGCTCCCTCCTGCACAATGCCTTCAGCAGGCACACACCAGTAAGTCCCCTCTGCCATCACTCCAGTAAGTCCCCTCCCCATCACACCAGTAAGTCCCCTCTGCCATCACTCCAGTCAGTCCCCTCTGCCATCACTCCAGTAAGTCCCCTCTGCCATCACTCCAGTAAGTCCCCTCTGCCATCACTCCAGTAAGTCCCCTCTGCCATCACTCCAGTCAGTCCCCTCTGCCATCACTCCAGTCAGTCCCCTCTGCCATCACTCCAGTCAGTCCCTCTGCCATCACTCCAGTAAGTCCCCTCTGCCATCACTCCAGTAAGTCCCCTCTGCCATCACTCCAGTAAGTCCCCTCTGCCATCACTCCAGTCAGTCCCCTCTGCCATCACTCCAGTAAGTCCCCTCTGCCATCACTCCAGTCAGTCCCCTCTGCCATCACTCCAGTCAGTCCCTCTGCCATCACTCCAGTAAGTCCCCTCTGCCATCACTCCAGTCAGTCCCCTCTGCCATCACTCCAGTCAGTCCCCTCTGCCATCACTCCAGTAAGTCCCCTCTGCCATCACTCCAGTAAGTCCCCTCTGCCATCACTCCAGTAAGTCCCCTCCGCCATCACTCCAGTAAGTCCCCTCTGCCATCACTCCAGTAAGTCCCCTCTGCCATCACTCCAGTAAGTCCCCTCAGCCATCACTCCAGTAAGTCCCCTCTGCCATCACTCCAGTCAGTCCCCTCTGCCATCACTCCAGTCAGTCCCCTCTGCCATCACTCCAGTCAGTCCCCTCTGCCATCACTCCAGTCAGTCCCCTCTGCCATCACTCCAGTCAGTCCCCTCTGCCATCACTCCAGTAAGTCCCCTCTGCCATCACTCCAGTAAGTCCCCTCCGCCATCACTCCAGTAAGTCCCCTCCGCCATCACTCCAGTAAGTCCCCTCTGCCATCACTCCAGTAAGTCCCCTCTGCCATCACTCCAGTAAGTCCCCTCTGCCATCACACCAGTAAGTCCCTCTGCCATCACTCCAGTAAGTCCCCTCTGCCATCACACCAGTAAGTCCCCTCTGCCATCACTCCAGTAAGTCCCCTCTGCCATCACTCCAGTAAGTCCCCTCTGCCATCACTCCAGTAAGTCCTCTGCAATCTCCAGTCACTCCAGTAAGTCCCTCTGCCATCACTCCAGTAAGTCCCCTCTGCCATCACTCCAGTAGTCCCCTCTGCCATCACTCCAGTCAGTCCCCTCTGCCATCACTCCAGTCAGTCCCCTCTGCCATCACTCCAGTCAGTCCCCTCTGCCATCACTCCAGTAAGTCCCCTCTGCCATCACTCCAGTAAGTCACCTCCGCCATCACTCCAGTAAGTCCCCTCCGCCATCACTCCAGTAAGTCCCCTCCGCCATCACTCCAGTAAGTCCCCTCCGCCATCACTCCAGTAAGTCCCCTCCGCCATCACTCCAGTAAGTCCCCTCCGCCATCACACCAGTAAGTCCCCTCTGCCAT